GCTTTCCTTCCCTAAATGCCCCTCTTTGCCTGCTCTTCCTCCAGCTCCAGCCTGTCTCTGGCGATTCCCTCATCCCCCACTGCTGTAGCCATCTCCCTTAGTGGACTCGGAGCGGCTGTAGGCACTGCCAACAGGACAGTGTACCTTTTGGACCTGAGAACCGGACAGGTAGGACCCTTGATGTTGCCAAAGTTACCTGCAGGGGCCAGGGGTTGGGATGGCTCAGTGGAATAAGTGCTTCCCTGGCAAGTGCAAGGGCCTGAGTTCAATCCCTGGTTCTGCCAAAAAGAAAAAAAGAAAAGAAGTTCCTCCCAGCTGGGTACTCACAGGAGCTCCCTGGTTGACTCAGCAACTTTAGCCTCTTCACTTCAGATTAGAGTGTTGAGTCAAAAAAACCAATCACATGGCCGGTGCACAGCTGTAATTCCAGCTCTCTGTAAAGCTGAGCCAGGAGGACCAAAAGGTAGTAGCATGTACAACTTCACAACTAAGATCTTGTCTAAAAAATAAAACAAGAGCTGGGGATATAGCTCAGTGACATAAGAGCCTGCCTGGCAAGCACAAGGTCTTGAGTTTGATCACCAGTACTAAGAAATAAGATAGATAATAAAGTAAAATACATAAAGCAAAACAAAACAGGCATGGGCATGCAACTCAGCGCAAAGTCTGTGGTTCATTTCCCACTACCAGCAAAACAAATCCACACAGCCAATATTTGCTGCCCAGAGTTGATTCCAAGTGCTTGTCTCAGTCACCGTTCTGTCCTAGCAGAGACATAATACGTGACACCCAGTGGGAAAGGAGGTAAGGGTTATTTAGATCAGGGTTTGTGACAGTTTCATTCCATCATTGAGTAGTTCCAAGGCAGGGTGGCTGGTGGCAGCCAGACAGCCATTCCTGGTGTCAGAAGACACCAAAAACAAGGAAAGAGGGGAGAAGTGCAAGACGCTTTCTGCCTCTTAGATCCCATGCAGGTGGTGGGTGTACCACTCTCGCTCTTAGTTGAGGCAGTTGGCTATGAATCAATGAAAAACTAGGATTTGGCCCCCATCAAAAAACTTACCCCCATGGCCACAGAAGGCTTTGTGGGGGACATGCAGACACAAAGCATCACAGTGCTGTAGGTTACCAGAAGTAAAAGGTCACTATGTCTCCCCATGACATATTCAGGTTAGGAGAACTGCCCTGCTGCCATAATTGAGGGCGTGAGCTCAGGTAGGAAGCAGAAGATGTGGGGGAAGGAAGGCCTCTGGTTGAGTGAGGAGCCACAGCAAGACCGAGCGCAGTGTTCTCCCTACATTGCCCAGTAGCACTGCAGCAGAGAGGACGAGGGGCCAGTGGGAGATGAGATGGAGGAGGGAGTCCCACTGCCATGGCCTCTCCTCACATCTTGTGATGTCCCTGTGGGACGCCTTTCCCCAAGACCCCATGAAAATCTGTGACTGGGGAATAGGACTGGGGTTTGGAGTGGAGGAGATGGGACCAGCTGCCTTGGATCAGGAGTTCCACCTGAACATGGTTTTGGCCAGGATTGTAGGTAGCAGGGATTTCGAGCCCTTCTTACCTTGGCCTTGGACTTGGTAGGGGCTGGACTGTTGGTCACACAAGGTCAAGAAGTGGCCTGAGCCTCTGCTCTTGTCCTGCTCTACAGGAGGAGAAGTCCATAGTGAGTGGCTGTGACGGGATCTCATCCTGCGCTTTCCTCTCAGACAGTGCCCTGTTTGTTATCGCCTTTGATGGGCTCCTGGAGCTCTGGGACCTGGAGCCCGGTTGTCGGTGAGGGTACCCTGTGTCTCTGAGTGAGGCCATTCCCTTTTTAAAACTCAGGGGCAAAGAAGTGAGGAGGGAGCCATGGCCACCTGGACCCAGGGCTGACTCTGTCTTCCTGGGATAGGGTGCTGCAGACCAAGGCTCACCAGGACCAGGTCACGGGCTGCTGCCTGAGCCCAGACCACCGGCTGCTGGCCACTGTGTGTGTGTGTGGGGGGGCCTAAAGGTAATGACAACCTGACCTACTGAGGGAGGCCCTGTGAGTTTGTCCCCCTTAACGTGACTGGGCGGCACACTGCTTGGCCTGGTGACCCTTTGTGGGCTGCAGTAGGGCATTGGACGAGTGGCTATGGGGCTGTGGGACTGAGCAGCTCAGGGCTGCATGTAGCTCCCCATCTCCTCCACTGTCTATTGCAGCTTTGGGACACGGTCCGTGGACAGCTTTCCTGCCAGCACACTTGTGCCAAGCCCCTCACCTGTGTTGCCTTCCACCCAGAGGGGCAGGCACTAGCCACTGGCAGCTGGGCAGGCAGCATCAGCTTCTTCCAGGCGGATGGACTCAAAGCCACCAAGGTAGAAGCCCATAGCTCTTGGGGAGGAAGCACAGGAGGGCAGGAGGGCAGGAGTGCGTGGTGCACATTTGCCATGGCATCGGTTTGTGTTGTGCAGGGAACAAACCCTGACGTTTCCTTACTACTTCCCTATGTAGGAGCTGGGGGCCCCAGGAGCCTCTGTGCGATCTTTGGCCTTGAATGCACCAGGGCAGGTTGTGGCTGTTGGCCGGCTGTACGGGAAGGTGGAGCTCTGGGCCTGGCAAGAGGGTGCATGGCTGGCTGCCTTCCCTGCTCACAGTGGCTTTATTTCTGCTGTGCTTTTCCTGCACAGCCAGGGCCAGTTACTGACAGCCGGAGAGGATGGCAAGGTCTGGTGGGATGGGAACAGGGTATAGCTCAGGCAGGGAGGACTTGGGTGGGGAGGGGCCTGTGTTGAGGACCCTAGAAGAGATGGGTGGGCGGAGCTACAGGGTGAGGGAATCAGGGTGTGCATGGCAGCACTCCCGAGTCTGTGGGTCCAGGGCCTTAACGAGGGTGGCCGTTGAGTGGGTGAACACCTGGTAGCCCAGAAGGGATACATTTAACCCTTTTTTTCCGCTCCTAGGTTCAGGTGTGGTCGGGCTCCCTGGGTTGGCCCCGGGGATGCCTGGGCTCCCTTCCTCTCTCTCCTGCCCTCTCAGTGGCTCTCAGCCCAGATGGTGCACAGGTGGCCGTTGGGTACCGAACCGATGGCATTAAGGTCTACAGAATCCCTTCAGGTACTGAAAGGGCAATGGGTGGATTTCGTAGCTTTGGAAACAGGGCGCCCCCTATGTCACCTTCCTCTTTCTTCCTCCAGGTCCCCATCGTGTGCATCGTGTGCAGGGTCGAATGCTAGATGTGGCAGTGTCTGCGCTGGCCTGGCTGAGCCCCAAGGTGTTGGTGAGCGGTGCAGAAGATGGCAGCCTGCAGGGCTGGGTGCTCCAGGAAGGCGCTGTGCTTCAGGCCCTCTGGCTCCTGCCTGGAAACCAGAAGGCGGTGCTGGATCTGGCCTCCTCCCAGGACCTTCTGGCTTCTGCCTCGGGTACCACTGGGCAGGGCAGGGCATCCTCAGTCTTTCTTTATAGCAGAAGTTGATGCTTTCCTTCTACTAGTACTGTACGTACGTATGTGCCTGAAACTACACAGATCACAGGTGTTGGTTTTACAGATTTTACAGTGCTGTGGATGCATTTATCTTCCTGAATCACTTTATGCAGTTTCTTCTTATTCCTTAAGCCCCCGTCTGGGACTCTGAACTCCAGCAATGCCTTTCACTTGTGCCATGGGGGAAGGAGACTTTACTGTAGAACAGGAGGGTTTCTCTGCAAAGAGCTAGGGAGCTGGTGTTGATGCAGAGCTGCGGCCTGGGCCTCGCAGGTGAAAGGGTCTCTGGACCGGTGGGAAGAGGTGTGCGGAAAGGCAGCCCGGGGCATCAGCCTGTACAGGAAGCCACAGTGCTGACTGTAGCTAGGGAGCTGGAGCTGCAAGGGCCAGATGTTCTCAGAAGATGAGTAGCCCTGGCTCAGGGCTTGGCCACATGCTCGTCACTCACATCCTCCCTTGTCTAGAACCCTCTGCCCCATGGTGGCCTCTGTGTGCACTCCCAGGCCTCTCCTGTGTCCTCTCAGGATGCCTTCCCCTCCCTTTCCACTGCAGAGGATTTTACAGTGCGGCTCTGGCCAAAGCAGTTGCTGACACAGCGGCACAAGGCAGGACACTTGCCCCAATGCACTGCGCTCCGGGGACACCGGGGCCCTGTAAGTTGCTGTAGCTTCAGCATGAATGGAGGCAGCCTGGCCACTGGCGGCAGGGATCGGGTGAGCTGCTGAGCGCTGCGATTCCCAGCTCCCTCTGCACTGCTGGTCCCTTGGTTCCTTTCCAGCCCCTTTTCCTTTTGCCTTCTCCTGCTGCTTATTCTGCCACGCCTCCTGCCAGAGACCACCCTCCTTCCTTCCCTGGAGCTTCTTGCGCTCACAGTCCTGGCCCTCCTGTTTCCTCCTGTGGTTCTGAGGCCTCACTCTCCTTGGACCCATCCAGAATCTCCTGTGCTGGGATGTGCGGACCCCGCAGAGCCCTCTTATGATTCGCTCCTTCCCTGCCTGTCACCGTGATTGGGTCACTGGCTGTGCCTGGACCAGAGATGACCTGTTGGTGAGTGAAGGTGTGGGGCGGCACAGAGCGTAGCGGGATTCCTAGAGGAAGACATCTCTCACCTCGTCACTCCCCACACCTACTGTGGCAGTATGGGTGGCACTTGCTGAGCCCTTCAGTAGCCTTGAGCTAAGCTCTCTACACATATGCCACACTTATTCACATGAGTCTAGGGGCTCAGGGATAGTGAAGCCAAGTTCCCCAGTGTGAATCTCTTTGTGATTCTCCCTGCTATTCTCAAAAAGAGATACAAAGCAGTGGATTTCATTCCAATAGTTTTGCTATCCTCTCTTCCTCCCCAGCCCACACTCTCCTTAGCACTGTGGGGTTTTGCCTTTATCTGAACTTGCTGAGTGACACTGTGAATAACAACTCCTCCTGTGATTGTTACATGCTCTCTGTGTACCAGGCAGCACACTAAGTCATCTCTAGAGATGCCGCCAGCCCACAGCAAGCATTCCAGATGCAAGGGCTGTCATTTCTTCCTCACGTAGTTGAGAAACTGAAACCCAAGGCTTAAAGTTTAAATTTGCCCCACATCCCAAGGATATGAATGGAGGAGCTAGTGTTTAGCTCAGGAGGGGCTCAGTTCCTAGTAGGAAGGTTTCCTGCCACATGCCACATTATGAAGATAGCAAAATGCCGGAGGGATGCACATAGCCCTGCTCCTCTCCCCTCTGACTGCAGGTCTCCTGCTCCAGTGATGGCTCTGTGGGGCTGTGGGACCCAAAGTCGGGACAGCAGCTTGGTCATTTCCTGGGTCATCAGAGTGCCGTGAGCGCCGTGGTGGCTGTGGTGAGAAAGCAGTGCAAAGGTCACTGGGGTGGGGGGTGTCTCAGAGCACACAGTGGGCGTTGGGAAGTGGTCTGTGTTGGGTGTGTGCTCCCCCAGGCAAAAGTCACCTGGAGGCTGGAAGATGGCAGAAGAATTTTTTTGGGGAAGAGGGCAGAGGATTTTTTTTTTTTTCCAAATGCCTTCAGGGCAGGTTTTGCTGGCTTGAGTTGTGGGGATGGAACCACAGCAACCTGAGCCAGACTGCTTGGTTGAAGCAGCTACTTAAAGAACTGAGCTAAGGGGCAGACCCCCTAGACGGGAAGATGCAAAGCTCATCTAAGTGAGGTCACCACGGGCAGGGTTGTGGTCCGGAGGCACGCCCTTCCACCGCTTCTGAGAACTCCTCTCATGCTTGGACCTCTTCCAAATCCTGGGTGCTCAGTCTGCTCCTCTATAGAGGGAGCCCCAGGTCCCTCCTGTGTTCTGATCCTGTGCTGTGGAACAGGAAAAACACGTGGTGTCCGTGGACCGGGACGGGATCTTGAAAGTGTGGGACCGTGGAGGTGTGGAGCTGACCAGCATCCCAGCGCACTCAGGGCCCATCAGCCAGTGCGCAGCTGCCCTGGAGCCCTGCCCAGGTAGTGAAGGGTCAGCCCCTCCCCACTGCCTCTTCTCTGTGTCCTCCCCTTTACTTCTCCTGAGTCATCTCCTTGTCTTATCAGCGGGACAGGCTGGCTCAGAGCTTCTGGTGGTGACTGTCGGCCTGGACGGGGCCACAAGGCTGTGGCATCCACTCTTGGTGAGTGTGCTGCAAGCCCTGGGGCTGTGGGAGGTGGAGCTAAGGGCCACTTCTTGGTTGGTTGCTGCCCTGGTGCGTCTGCGTCCCTTGCTCCTAGGTGTGGCAGACACATACCCTCCCGGGACACAGTGGTCCTGTCAGTGCAGCTGCGGTCTCCCAGCGCTCGGGCCTTCTGCTGACCACCTCAAGCGATGGTTCAGTGCGGCTGTGCCAGGTGCCTCAGGAAGCAGGTGAGTGCGGCCTGGACAGACAGGCGTGCAGGAAGGTTGTGTTGCTGAGGCAGAGAAGCTCGGGGCAGCCTGGTAGCTCAGGTATGCTAGGACTAGCCCAGCACCTAAGGATTACTTCCCTTCTTCCCCAGATGATACCAGTAACCTGAGGAGTTTCACAGCCATCACCGCGGTGGCCTGGGCGCCGGACGGCTCTGTGGCTCTGTCTGGAAATCTAGCTGGGGAATTAACCCTGTGGCAGGATGCCAGGCCTGTGGCCACAGCGCAGGTGACTCGGGGCAGCCTCCTTTGTCTGTGTAGCTCTGCCCTGGCTATGTGCTTCATGGTACTTGCTGAAGCTGAGGTTGCCTGCGTGCTTGGCAGGGTGGGGCTTAGCCTGGCTGCTCAGAAGTACTGACGTGACCTCGTTGTACACTCCAGGCCCCCGGCCGTGTCAGCACTCTGCTCTGCAACTCAGCCTACAACTTCTTCGTTCTCAGTGATGATGAAAAGATCACCGAGTGGCACGTGCTCGATTCTCCGGGGCAGAGGGGTTCAACATCTGGGTGAGTCAGGTGAAAGCAGGCAACTGAGTGGAGGTGATGGGAATGCGCTTTTGCTTCTGAACAGGTCACCCACATATTGATTATCGAGCAGGAAGTGTGTTCGCCTCCCTCTGTCAGTTAAAAGGAATTCCTCTCAAGTGTCTATTTCATGCCATGCTCTTGGCCAGGTAACCCAGAT